TGACGGTGAGTTAACAATTACCAGTTGACATTATGTCCACACCTGGTGACTATCCCTGTGACCATGTCCAGATACCCCCCCCACCCGGTAGTGTACCTACTTAGGTAGGTACCTAGGTATGTACATTTTCTATATATCCCGTCAAGCAGGGATTATGTAGGTAGGTACCAAGAGGATGGAAGCTCGGCAGTACCTGCAGAATACCTTATCGATGTCGATCTTTGTAGTTATATAAGAGGTAGTCATTAATTTTCCGAAGCGTGTTGTTTTGTATATGGCTGTTACCTAGCAGAATTCTACCTAGCAGCCTAGTATATTGTAGTTGTTATCCTTAGTGTGCTTAAGATAAAATATGGAATAGAAGGAAACTGATCGCATCCATGGATGTCTCTACAGCACCTAGTATTATGCCAGAGCTAACTACCCCATCTGCCCATATATCGCATAGGTCCTAGATGTTTGCTGCATAGCGCTTGCTTACCTACCTATGACTTCATCATTCGGTTTGTTGTAGCTCCGTGTGTACCTAGTTTTGTGATTACGACGTCCAAGATCAACGTCCGAAGCGTCCTTAGGTACCTAACTTGGTTACCGGACCTCCTATTCCGCTAACTTCATCAATGATCGAACGAATCGAGTGCTGTGTAAGGCTGTAAGCTTCAACTTATGCCAATCTGAACTCCTGGACCCCTATCCTATTTATGACGTAGCGTAAAAAGCTTAGTCGCAAATGTAAACCACATTTCCTATCCCATGAGGCCCGAAGATTCTGTCGATTTAGCGCCCCCCACTCTTAAGCCCTGATAAGCCAATCACAACAAAGCTTCATGAAGCTTCAGTGTTATTTCTTCCTCCACATGGGTTTTTTCATTCTTATATATCGATTTTATAATATACAATGGCGATATATGGTATAAAGATATATGTGGTAGGTTTAATCGTTCAAGTTTTCATACGACCAAAATGGGGAAAATCTCTAATGTGATTGGTTAATGAGGTGTAGAAAGTGGGGGGCGCTAAATCGACAGAATCTTCGGACCTCATGGGATAGGTAGGACCTAGGTACATATCATTCTCCAGGTAGTCTAGACCACGAATTTAATTCATCTAGAAAATCAAAGTACAATGCAGTTTTACTATTTCCATGATCAAATCATAAATTTACTAGAATAATTACCTATTTGGAGATTTAAGTGGAGAGCAATCTGATTTCACCCCAAAAAATTAGAAATTAGACATAAGTGTCCCCTTCCCGTCTTTGAAGCATTTCGAGGCTGCGAGGCTAAATAATTATCCTCGTTTTATTAATCAAATGTACCTAGATAAGTAAACAAAAGAGGCCGTATATCTTTGTGGACCCGGAATTCGACAGCTTAATGTCATATTTAGGGCGCAAGACGATGTAGCTACAGAACTACCCCGCAATAAATACCTACTTAGGTAAATATCGTGATTGTTATATTAATCAACTTGAGAGGTTTTCCTGAAATCAACTCCAGGAGCGTTGTTGTAAATTTTGGTGGCTTCGTATTGTTTAATCGTCAACTATGACTACTCAACTCCCATCTACAGTCCTCATCATCGGGGCGACAGGCACTATCGGCAAGTATATTACCAATGCCATAGTCTCGGCCGAACCGCGTGTCGGCCGACAGATATCTATCTTCACTTCGCAAGCCACGGCAACTAGCCCTGCTAAGCAAGGTCTGTTGTCCTCATGGAAGTCTAAAGGCGTTTCGGTAATCACAGGCGACTTAAACAATTCCGATGATGTCAGAAACGCCTACAGCGGCGTAGATACGGTTGTTTCGTGTTTGGGAAGAAATGCGCTGGCTAGCCAGATCGAGCTGCTTAAACTTGCGGAAGAAAGCAAGGATGTGCAGTGGTTTTTCCCCAGCGAGTACGGCACGGATATCGAATACGACGCCTCAAGCAAGGATGAGAAACCACATCAGAACAAGCTCAGGGTAAGGGAGTTCATCCGCGACCAGGTGAAGAGGGTCAAATGCACTTACGTCGTCACTGGGCCATATCTCGACATGTTCCTGGCGTTGGCACCAATAGCCGAAGATGCTGGAGGCTACGATGTGAAGTCGAAGAGGGCCGTAATTGTTGGAAGTGGCGATGAAAAGGTTGGATTCACCACCATGCCAGAGTAAGCCTTACTACCTACTACCTACTACCTACTTACTACTTTCCTATTACCACATACTAGTGGGATTGTCCAATTGACATCTCACAGCGTTGGCAAGTTGGTGACTGCGGCTCTACAACACCCGGAAGTGTCGATTGGGAAAGTTCTCAAAGTTCAGTCGTTCGTTACGACTCCAAACGCTATTCTGGAAGAGTTTGAGAAACAGACAGGCACGAAGTGGACGGTCGACCATACGACAAATGAGAAGCTCCGAGAAGTCGAGAAGGAGAAGTGGGATGCCAACCACCCAATAGCGACGCTATACACATTGAGGCGTATTTGGGCTGAGGGTGGCACTTTGTATGACAAGACCGACAACGAGGTATTAGGTCTCACACCAGGAGATATGGAACCCCTGGGCGCTGTCGTGAAGAGAGCTGTCAATGGCGAAGGGTACTAGCGATAGTTTATCCTCTATGTGACATATGTAGTATCTATATATTAGGTACTATACTATATGAGGAGAGAAGCTCGTCGAGTTTCAATGATGAAATATCATGATATTATGGGAATATGAATATCTCAATTCAATGAATGTAATTGAGCAAATCATGCATTTATATCGTGTAATGCCGGTAGGCAATGAAATTTGGTACCCCGCAGCCCCGCTAATAAAGGTACCTACTACATAGTAGGTACATGACTTGGTCTATCGATAACGTGCTCTTAGAAAAAAAATTTACGATCGGGGGAAGCTACGATTTGATGCCGACGCTTGTTAATTGAATTATTCTTTTCTTCTTCTTCTTGATCTACGAACCTGTAATAGTCATAAAACAGTCACCAATTTAGCGGTCCATTTGACCTGGTTCGTCTGATACGGAATGGCTGATGAACAAGCATCGACATCGGCTCTGGCTTCCGAAAAGAAGCATAAATCTCATAAGAAGCACAAGCGACATCTGGAAGCTGATGGTACTGAGAACGAGCGAAAACACAAGAAGTCGAAGAGCAGCAACAGTGTGCCTATCGTAGAACCGGAAGCTCCAATTCGGATAGAGACTAAAACACTCGAAGCAGCCGAGACAAATGGCGCTGACGAAAAGACGGAGAAGAGAAAGCGACGGAAACATAAGAGCCATGCGACAGATAAGGTAGACGAAGGTCAACCAGCACCAACGTCAGCGCAAGATGGCGCAACAGATGTGAATAAGGCAAAGAAGGAGAAGAAAAAGTCAAAGTCGAAAGACCATAAGAAAAAACACGACATAATTGAAATCAACGAGACAATCATACCTTATAGCCAGGAAGATCTTCCCAACCCCGATTCCATGGACATCGACTCGGGGCCTGCTGAGAACGAGATCGTTGGTTCTGACGAATTCGGGCAAAAACCAGTGGATAAGGAATACCCTTTCTTTACCCAGACCGTTTCCCAGTACCTCGCTTTATTTCCATCCGGTCTAATCGAACCGGTGGAAGGCTTCGCAGATCAACATCTAAGGCCTCTCCTCAAGCGATATGTCCCCAGCTTCCGCGGCGTTCTGCTGGCGTATCAAAACCCCCGTGTTGGTGAGGCGCCCGGCAGGGGATCTTTAACTGAGGAAAGCGCATCAGACGACGTTGTACTGCTCGAATCGATTAATGAATATGCTGTGAGCTATGGGTGGTTAACGGTAGATGTAGACGTCTTCCGTCCTACCCGAGGCGCCTGGATGGAAGGTATCGTGAATCTACAAGGCGAAGGTCATATTGGTGTTGTCTGCTGGGACCTGTTCAATGCTTCGATTGAAGCTGGTCGACTACCTAGTGGTTGGCATTGGGTCGATCTCCTATCAAAGGACAAGAGCAAGAGCAAGGATAAGGGTAAAGGTAAGCAGAACGACAGAGAAAAGACGGCCGAAGAAGCCAAGTTACCTACCCCTGATCCCTTCGACGATCCCGATGACGAACTTGAACACGATACGACCCAAATACATATAACGGGTTATTGGGTGGACGAGAATGGCACGAGAGTGCGTGGAGGAGCCAAGCTCTACTTCCGGATTAAGCATTACGAGGTTGGCGTCAGCGGCGACTACGGCTACCTAAGTATTGAAGGTACTATGTTAAACGAAGAAGAAGAGAAGGCCAAATACACCAAGGAGATGGAGGTCTCAAGGCGTCGCAAGCAAAAGCACGGGGGCGTCTTGCGGAAAGAGCAGAAACGCTTACCCGAGTTCAGTATGACCAAGTTCGGCGTGAATGAAGCCGAAGATAACGAGGCCCAACGTGCTCCCGTGCAATGGGTCGCAAGCCGTCCCGGAAGCGACACGGAGTAGACGAATCATAATTACACGTATATCCATCATTGGGAGTAGGCGAACATCGGCGTCACTGGTTCGGTTGAAGGCTATTAAAAATTACCTGTTGCGCATGTCGATATGAATATGCCCGTACGTTCAACTTCTCGGCGGAGGGCTAGTCCACGGTTGGGGTATAATTGATATTTAGATAAACATCTACGAGTTACTTGATTCATATCAAGTATTAGTTCTTAAGTGCGTATTGTTCGTATTGTTCGTATGCGATTCTAGGGATACACTTATACTTTTTCGTCATCTTGAATCCATTATGATTACCCAGGTACCTAGGTAGTGGAGGAGATGTTGACTATCAAGACATCCATGGATGCTCTGAATCCATCTGCTCCATAGCTTTCCGGCTTGGTTTATGGCGGTCGGTATGTATTATTCCTCACCTACAAGGATTCTAATATGTTTGCGAGTAATAACTAGAAGAAATATTGGTTTAGAATAATATTTGGAGTATTAACGTTACTTGCACATTGTGTTGGATATGGCAATATTCTGTACCCGATCTGCCAATATCAGGCTAGGGAAGTTACAACTACTCCGTTCATGCCCCGGAAAGCTGTCCATGACACAGGTTACTCCACGTACCCTTGTACCTCCGCGCGCTCCACGCCTGGCGGGAGCTATTTTAGGTACATAGTACCTGGGCTTTACATAGTAGTACCTTGCACATACCATCAATTGAAACTCCCAATATCATCACAAACGTCGAGTTAGGGTCTCGGATCGTGTCATTTACTTAACTGAGTCTTATTCCCATCTACATTGTATCCTACCTTTCCATGTAAATCTCTAATCGATACCTCTATTGAACGCTAAATATGTCGTCGTCCGGATTGCGACAGTGCATCCGAGATGTCTCTCCGTACCTCATCCTCTTAGTCGCCATTAGCACCCTGGGACCGCTACAGTTCGGCTTCCATCTTGTATGTCCAACTCCAAATATACTATTGTCTCTTTCGATCTCACAGTCTGACCTACATATCTCTAGGCCGAACTCAACGCACCTCAAGATGTTATTTCTTGCCGAGCGAAGCAGCAATCCGTCTCACGATTCTCATCCGTCCTATCTTTGATGTCGAAGTCCTCCAACTCCGATGAAGTATCTACTACCTCTGCCCTTCCCGACTGCATACCCATGAATGATGCCCAGTTCGCCGTCGTATCAAGCATGTTTACCCTGGGCGGTCTGGTCGGTGCTCTCGGAAGTGGCCCCATAGCCTCTGCGAGGGGCCGCCTATTGGCCATGCGGCTGACCAGCTTATTCTACATCATCGGTTCTGTCGTTGAGGCCCTAGGTGCGTCTATTGCTATGATGGCTGTGGGTCGTGTGTTCTCTGGTGTAGGTGCTGGCGCTGCGACTGTCATCGTGCCCATTTATATCAGCGAAGTGGCGCCACCGCGTGAGCGCGGTACCTTTGGTGCCATGACCCAGGTCAGCATCAACGTCGGTATCCTAATTACGCAGACCATGGGGTATTTCCTCAGCTACGGGTCGGCGTGGCGGTGGATTCTAGTTGCTGGCATCCTCATTGGTGTGCTGCAGGGCTTCGGGCTCCTACTGCTGCCAGAGAGCCCAGCGTGGTTGGCAGCCAATGAGAGCGTCACCCAAGCGAGGCGGATACTGCAGAGGATACGTGGGAAGCACTACGATATTGAGGAGGAGACCTTGACGTGGGGCGATTCAGCGGTGTCGCCAGAAGAGGAGGGTTTGCTCAACGATTCAACTGTCGGTTCCAGGAGAGATTCTACCACCAGCAAGGTTAGCGGGAGAAATAATGGCAACCTTGGTTTTCTGGAAGTTATCAAGGACCCATTATACCGACCCGCTCTCGTCGCCGCTATTGGTGTCATGTGCGCCCAGCAATTATGCGGCATCAACTCCATCATCATGTACTCCGTCTCGCTCTTGAGGGATCTCTTGCCAATCAGTTCCGCGCTGTTGACTATCATGATATCGGCCATCAATCTCATCACCACGGTCGCATGTTCGCCGCTCCCAGACAAATTCGGAAGGAAGACTTGCCTGCTTCTTTCCATATTCGGTCAAGGGGCAAGCGCTCTCGCTTTGGCGTTGTCCATTTTATTCGAAGCCAAGATACTGTCAGCGTTCATGGTTCTTTTCTTCGTGGCCTTCTTCGCCGTCGGGTTGGGTCCGGTTCCTTTCATCCTCGCGTCCGAGCTAGTCGGACAGGAGGCGGTCGGGGCAACTCAGTCCGCCTGTCTGGGTGCTAACTACATTGCTACCTTCTTGGTAGCACAATTCTTCCCCATTATCAACGTTGCTCTAAATAAGCAATTTGGTGGTGCCGGTTGGGTTTATTTTATCTTCACTGCCCTAGCTGGTCTGTGCGGGCTATTCGTGCTCTGGCGCGTCCCTGAGACTAAGGGTAAGAAGGATGCAGATGAGGTTTGGGGCCGGACAAGGCGACTTGATTAATGTTAATGGACACAATATCTGGAAATGATTTATATATGCTGCCTAAGGTTTATTACATATAACGATATATCATGAATTTGACATCTCTAGTTTTGATTCTGGGTTATCACGGTCTCCCGGGAAGCAACCTCTGGTATTTGATCATCTGATCGATTTGTGTTATGCCCGCCCTAACACCATCTACCACATGCAATTCGGAGTAGGCAAATTCTTCTCCTTGCGCCTCGCTGGCGGCGCTCCGGATAATCGCTTCCAGGCCGGCCATCCCCGCACACCCCATCAAGATAACCTTTACACCTCCTTTAGAAAGAAGTCGCTTGGTAGCCTCCTTAAGCTTCTGCCTTACGATGGCGGGGTCAACACCATCGTGGAAGTCAGACGCGTTTAGGCCTGTAGACTCAACGCCCCTGAATCGCGAATTCGGATCTCCGCCAGCCTTTGATCCTAACATGAAGTCTACCCCATCGGCTAAATGCTTCTCCCACCACTTCCCCGTCGTCACGATACCCCAGGTATCATCGCCCCCGAGCAGAGATAGGGCAGCTAGGATACTGGCCTCGAAGATGCCGGTTACGGATTTGGGATATGCGGAGGAGAGCTGCATGGCAGTTACGAGGGGGTGCACGCTGTAGCATGCGATTAGGACGCCATCGTAGGGGAGGCCGGTTGGGTTACATGATGATAAATCGGCGAGCACGGCCGAGTGGCTGAGGAGAAGATCGTCTCCATTGTTTATGCTGGCTGGTGAAGAAGGGGGAGCCGTGTATGTGTATATTTCGGTGGACTAGGTGTGGTTAATACATGGGTAGTGAGTTTTATGTGTTTATGATGAAAGTGACGGTGTGTGATGTTTCATCTATAAGTGAACTTTTTTCTAGCTCTCTCTCACATTTCTTGAGACTGTCTCACACCTGGGGATTATATACGGGCTATGGGATATTGAGAATAGGGGCATCGGCGTACATATGGTAAATCTATAGAATCGATCACGTTTTTTAGACCGTCCGTCATGGCCTTTGACGAGTTGGGATTTAATACTAAGATTTTACTTAGTTTCCCACGTACAAGTTCGGTAGTCATGGCGGTCGTTGTCGTCGTCTATCAATATAGGGTGATAGGTAGGATTAACGAAGAATCCAGTGCGTAGATAAATGGTTCGATATAAAATATATGTATTTATGCCGTTAAATTAGAGAAATCAAAGTCTGGTATTGGTTGAAATTAGTGCTTGATCTCTTCGGCAGAATATCCAATAAAATATTTTCTTTTATACCCGTTTCCAGTTAGAGACTAAGTTGAAGCATACATTCGACCAGATATGATGAACTTAGCGAACTTGGGGTAGGTTGGTGGGGTAGTACCTACCTAGTAGTTGTGAATGAGGGTTGTCATCTGACAATTCTGTATCGAATCTATAACTCTTTAATGCAATAGATAGAAGATTTCATAATCAACTTTAGTGGAACCAGAAACCCCAGATAGAAAGTGGGGGTAATCAGCCACATTTGACAACGTCAGGCTGTCTCAGCCTCAATGGAATGCTACTACCTAGCAGTACAGCTGTACTTACCTCCAACTAGAACTGGTTTCATTAATTCAAGTACCTAAGTCAACTGAACTGACGAGCGCCTCAACTCCAAATCCAACCCCGCCATCCAAGCTACAAGCTGCCTGGCCAACTGCAGCCTACACGATTTAACGTAAATATACTCCCAAACTCGTCCTCGGACGTTTACGGCCTGCCTTTTTCTACCAAGGGAGTTATTAAATCATGGCTGCTCCTCCTCCTATCGGTCAGTAGCATTTCACTCTTACCCCCAATACTTACCTGGCAGATAGCTAGAGTAGCGAATAAAAGTATGGATGCCTAACGATACCAAACTAGTTCTCGATGGAGGTACCGGTTTCTTAAAGGTCGGATACGCCGCACAAAACTTCCCCGAATTTCAATATCCATCCATTGTCGGCCGACCAATCCTACGAACGGAAGAGAGGAACAGTGACAATGACATCGTTCTCAAGGATATCATGTGCGGTGACGAGGCGGCGGCGGCGCGGACCATGCTTCAAATCTCCTATCCTATGGAAAACGGTATTGTTAAGAAGTGGGATGATATGCAGCACCTATGGGACTACACATTCTACGAAAAGATGAAGATTGACCCAAAAGGACGCAAGATCTTACTCACCGAACCGCCTATGAATCCCCTAAAGAACCGAGAACAAATGTGTGAGGTTATGTTCGAACGATACGACTTTGGCGGTGTTTACGTGGCTATTCAAGCTGTGCTGGCCCTCTACGCGCAAGGTATATATCGAATCGCCCGAACTTCGTGGGATTCCATTTTAACATTAACTTAGGTTTGAGCTCTGGTGTTGTCGTTGATTCCGGTGACGGAGTTACCCATATTGTCCCCGTATACGAGTCCGTTGTTCTCAACCATCTTACCCGAAGACTTGACGTGGCTGGTCGAGATGTGACACGTAACCTGATCGCCCTTCTTCTGCGAAGAGGTTACGCGCTTAACCGAACGGCCGATTTCGAAACCGTGCGACAGATCAAGGAAAAGCTATGCTATGTATCATACGACCTGGAACTGGATAAGCGTCTTAGTGAGGACACGACAGTGCTAGTGGAAAGTTACACACTGCCCGACGGCCGAGTGATCCGAGTAGGCAGCGAAAGATTCGAGGCCCCCGAATGTCTCTTCCAGCCTCATTTGGTAGATTGCGAACAGCCTGGTATCGCGGAGTTCCTCTTCAACACCATCCAAGCTGCCGACGTAGACGTTCGCTCTTCTCTCTTCAAAGCCATTGTTCTCTCTGGCGGAAGCAGCATGTATCCAGGCTTGCCGTCGCGATTGGAGAAAGAACTTAAGCAATTATGGCTCACGCGCGTTCTTGGCGGCAATCCCGAACGGTTGAACAAATTTAAGGTTAGGATAGAGGATCCTCCTCGTCGTCGGCATATGGTCTTCTTGGGCGGTGCGGTGCTGGCAAATATCATGGCGGACAAGGAGAGCATGTGGATCACGCAACAGGAGTGGGCAGAACAAGGGCCGAGGATCCTGGAAAAATTAGGTCCGCGGTAGAAAACTGAACTGTTCATGATTCGAGCCTGCGAGAAGGAAATTTAGAGTTGAACGATCATGGAGTTTTATGAAGTTGTAGCAAAAATGATTCTAAATAGGTTAGCCCAAGGCGCCATCGTCGTTTTTATTTCACCCAATCCACCTAAATCGACGTATTCGTGTCTTATCTTTCTAGCTTTCCTACCTAGTTATCTATTTGAATTGTTGTATATGTGTAACTTACTCGAACCGAATCACTGTCTCACACATCGCCTTGTACTTAATTGAATCCATTATCTATCCTCGACTACCTCCCGCCTATGGGCAGGGGTGACTGCGCCACAAATCATCAGCCACATTGCCCAACTAGAATGAGCCGGACTTCAACTCTTCCAACTTTAAAACGCACGATGGTCGATGAGGCAAGGAATCCGCAAGTCAATAATAACCTTTCCATTTTGCTTTCCATCATATATTACAACTCACTCTTACTCTCTCATTTACGCTATGTAATATTACCCGCCATTTATCCGATTACCCATCGAGCTACATTCTTAATCACTCATATTATTTCTAATTGTCCCCTGTAAAAAATCACAAATAGCAAATAACAACATCGAAACTGGACACTAACATAATCGGCCTTCCGACGGGAACAGACACACACCACCACCTCCCGTCATCTCCGTCATCTCCGTCATTAGGTATCCAGTAAGATCCATATCATCTACCCGAGACGTCCCGCCCCCCCTTTTTCTAGATTTTAGAAAGGTTTCATTAGCCAATACGGATACATCAAAATCTCACCGTCCAACGACCTAATACCGATACATCATTCTCGGCGCACAGCACGAAAAAAAGAAAAAAAGAACGCATAGGCGCATGGGAGATCCCGCCGGCTGAGAAGAGGAGTTGAAGCGAGAGGACTAGATCGTAAGAGAGCGTAAGAAAAGTGAGAGATAGTAAGAGACTTGTCTCATCTCACTCTGACGCTGCCGGCCGGCAGTGAACCCGCAACCCGCCGCGGGCGCGCGCCTGATCTTTTTTTTCATTCAATCTGAAATCTGGATCTGGTACTGCGTCTGGATCTGGGATTGATCTGAGCTGACCGGCTGCCCCAACTCGACACGAGCACGAGCACGAGCACAGCAGCGTCTAATAAAACGATGAGTCTCAGTAATCCTGCTTCGGCCGCGTCGGGACCAGCTTCGGCCACCGCAAGAAACCAAACAACCCTGAAGAGGAGCGTACAAGCCGCCTTTGAAGGTACGCAAGAAATGCCATATTCTTATTAGTCCACATATCTTTATTTTATTTTTATTTATTCTTATTTATTTTATCGAATCCTTCTTTTCTTCTTTCCTTTTTCGGCGTATATCGTATACCGTAAATTTCGTCTGTTTGTTGGTTTATGTACTTTGCCTACTTACTGCTTGCTTTGTTCGCATCTACTCAACAATTTTCTCCTTCCTCTTTTCGGCCGTCACAGTATCTATCTCACACCTCGAATCGCCACCTGATTGGTGGCCTTCGGACTTATTCAACTTTGGCGACATGCTGCGCCGCTGAGAGCTTACCACTCTGTTACCGTCATGTTCCATACCTAGTATTCATATATCTTCACTACGACTCTAATTTTCCGATCCCAATTTCTTTCTTCTTCACATCATCAAAAAGCATCCTACATCATATGATGGTGTTTGGAGACGGCCTTGATAATTCCTTACGGTATCGCCGAACACGGCTACCAGAGGAAAACAAGTCGTCTTACGGTCCTCCAAACACGGGCTTCTCTCTACTTAAGTCTTATGAGCCTAGACCAATAAATCATGCATTTCATACGCCCACATTCCAACCACACCTTTCTCCGTTCCGTAATCAACGTACGGATTAAACATTTCTTTTATATTCCTTTCCTTTAATACACCAGTTTAATCGTAGTGGGTGGGTAGCTAATTCCGATATAGATCCTACTGATAGAGGTGGAAGCGTAGGTTACCAGTCCAAGGTTAGGGTCGTCGACAAGTATAAAGTCATCGGTTTTATTAGCAGCGGGACGTATGGCCGAGTATACAAGGCCTTGGGTCGGCATGGCCAACCGGGTGAATTTGCTATCAAGAAGTTCAAGCCCGATAAGGAAGGGGAACAAATACAGTACTCTGGTATATCACAGTCAGCGGTGCGCGAGATGGCTCTATGCTCGGAGTTGAAGCATGACAACGTTATCCGCCTTATCGAGATTATCTTGGAAGACAAATGCATCTATATGGTGTTCGAGTATGCCGAACACGACCTCTTGCAGATCATTCACCATCACACCCAGCAACCACGCCATAGCATACCACCTTCCACTGTCAAAAGTATCATGTTCCAGCTGCTAAATGGATGTCAGTACCTTCACAGCAACTGGGTTCTACACCGCGACCTCAAACCCGCCAACATCATGGTCACATCGAGCGGACAGGTCAAGATCGGTGACTTAGGGCTGGCCCGCCTTTTCTACAAACCCCTGCACTCACTGTGGAGTGGCGATAAAGTAGTTGTGACGATATGGTACCGTGCCCCAGAGCTGCTCCTAGGAAGCCGGCATTATACGCCAGCAATCGACATGTGGGCCGTAGGTTGCATATTCGCCGAATTGTTATCCCTTAGGCCTATCTTCAAAGGAGAAGAGGCTAAGATGGATAAGAAGACAGTGCCTTTCCAGCGTAACCAGATGCAAAAGATCGTTGACATCATGGGTCTTCCTACCAAGGAGCGCTGGCCCCACCTACCTAGCATGCCCGAGTATAACAACCTAAGCGTATTACAACCGCCCATGCTACACCCGGGCCATCATCACGGACACCATCACCATCATCACTCCAAGTCCGCTGGCTCGACCAGCCACCTCGAGAAATGGTACTACACCACCATCGGCGCGCACTCGTCAACCTCGTCCCCGAATTCCAACGCTACCCTCGCGGCTCTCGGCGCCGAAGGCTATAAGCTACTTGCTGGCCTTCTCGAATACGACCCCGAGCGTCGTCTCACAGCCGCCCAAGCCCTACAGCACCCCTTCTTCCAGGTTGGCAGCACAGGTGGCATAGGCGTCAGCGCAGGCTGCTTTGAGGGCTTGAAGGTCGCATATCCCCAGCGCCGTGTCAGTCAAGACGATAACGATATACGTACCGCGAGCCTGCCTGGGACAAAGAGGTCTGGGTTGCCGGATGATAGCGTTGTTAGGCCTGTTAAGAGGATTAAGGAAGGCTAGGAGTCTTGACTTGCTGCTAAGGAGCTGCTAAGGAAAATATATCTATGGGTGGCCTAGAATTAGGTTCTAGTGTAGGCAGATTATATGGGTGGTTTGATTTCATGCGAAGGAGTTTGGGTTTGACTTGGGGTATGGGGGCGTGATTGATATTGTTATTTCAAGGAATAGGCATGGAGTAAGGCGATATGGTCTAGCATGGTAAAGCATGACGTTGTGTAGGTAGTATTGATATTGATGTTAACATCAACATGGTCCTCAAGGTTACCATGCGTCCAAGCTTACCGCCGTTCAGAAAATCATTAGCTTTGCAAAATTCGAAACCCATGAATACTTAGGTAGGTAGGTAGCAGGTATCAAACTGCCTGACTAGCTCACACACCCTTCAAACTAGCCAGGCCGTCAATATTACAATATTACAGTATTAATATGTACGTATGTATCTGTGTACAAAAAAATGATGGTGCTAAGTAGATAGTATGTTAAAACACCCGCTCCCGCCAACCGCCTAGATAGATGTGCCGCTCCCGTTAGTGTCGTAAAAAGCAAGTTCGATATGATGGTATGTATGGGATAGATTTCGTGACCAAGAGACAAAAAAGCAAAAAAAAGACTAAAACTTTGGGTATGCATATAGAAAAGAGGGGGTTGGATTAGGAGCCTCGGGTATATCCGCTTCGCTTCAACAACTATCATTGCCCCCGATCGAGTCCGTATACGAACGTATTGACTATAGCAATCTATTGCAGCCCGTATTTTTCTCAACCCCCCTTTTGCTATCTTTGCATGAACAACTGGTGAGACTAAAGATTGGAGGGTGTCAGGTAGGAGTGTGGTGCAAAACTCCGCTAGACTCTATCGCATGGCTGCCCCATGCCACTCTCTGATGGCAAAATTCCAAGTCGCAAATTAGACCCTGACGCAGAAGACCCTTCACTTTATCGTATCGTGCCGAAAGGATTTCATATCCGAACCAAAATTCTTCGTATTATTAGAGCCATACGGACTATGCGACTCGACAGACGATTGCGGCTCGATCCATCAATGTCCACGCCCGCGCCCCACTGGCTCTTTGCGACGCGGTTATTCTAAATCAAACAACAAGGGTATCAAGGGAACAACAGAGAATTAAGAAGCCCTACTTCTTGGGCGGTGTAGGGGGAACCTTGACATTGTTCGATAGCCATGCCAGACCCTCGAGCAGACCCTCTCCCGACATGGCACAACTGGGCGCCACGTTCCAGATCTTGTCCTTCAAAGACGGGAGTTGTAGAGCATCCGTTACTTCTTGGGGACTCATAGCTGTAAATGGTGTTAGTATGCTATCATATTTCCCCTCGGGATCGGAATAAAGACTAATTAAGACATACCATCCTTAATATCTTGCTTGTTCGCGAATACCAGTAGCAAGCTGTCCTTCATCTCCCTGTCGTTGATAATACGGTGCAGTTCTTGTTTGGCCTCGGCCATTCGTGCGCGGTCGGAGGAGTCGACAACGAAGATTAGACCTTGGGTTCCTATTCATATATTGACATCAGTATTGGTATCTCTTATGGTTGTTTGATCGCCAGACAGGTATGCTACGTTATCGTGTTTATGCGCATACTAATCTGCCTGCCCATTCAAGGGTCAAAGTCCATGGAAGTCCTCGTCTATGAACGGACACGCAGATTAGCAAGAAGAACGACTTGTTACTCACCGCTAAAATAATGTCTCCATAGAGGTCGGATCTTGTCTTGACCACCAACATCCCAGACGTTGAACTTGACATTCTTGTATGTGACCGTCTCGACGTTGAAGCCGACTGTAGGAATGGTAGTGACGTCCTGACCGAGTTTGAGCTTGTACAGAATCGTGGTCTTGCCGGCAGCGTCGAGACCCAACATCAACAATCGCATTTCCTTAGATCCGAAGATCTTGCCCATCATCTTGGATAGTTGACCCCCCATTTTGATCTTGGTTGTTGATTTCTGTCAGGAGAGATTCTACGAGGTCGATCGAAATAGGTGAACTATGAGGGAAGTCGGGTCACGTCGTACGTTTAGGTTCCAAGTGAATATTATATCGCCCCGGTGACTGTCATTAAAGTCTGGAGGGAGGGAGGATGGTAAGTAGAGCGGTGATTTGCAAAGCCTAACGCGTAACTATTGGCTATCGTAATATTTGTAAACCCAGCAACTGAACAGAGCTGCCGCGTCTTTGGTATCGTGTGTGGTTGAAGGGAATCGTGAGATAGATTTGCTGTGCCGACGGAAACGATGTCGCAGTACTCCGTTATGAGGGTGAATAAAAATAGATAAAAACTACAATTTCCGAGATTGACACATGCACGACGAATGAGTGGAAGAAAAATAGGGAGATTAAAAAAAAGAGTGAGTAAGAACAAGGGGAGAAAAAATAGTTTGCAGCGTCGATTTCCAAATTGGAAGTTTAATGAAACATTAAAAATACGCCAGGACCCTCATCAAATGTTTCAATCTCCGCTGTTTTCAGGTGGTCTTAGCAGTCTCAGTCGCTCTCTAGTTGTTTTCTAGGTGCTGCAATCCCCTAAAGCTGCTACATGTAAGGGCTTCAGGGCTCACACGCGCTACAGTATCACGCTAGAAACGCGCTGGGTGCCCAATGAGGTTAGACAAACAGTTTCCCCTGACGGGGAGACAGGTACAGTACATGCTACATGCTAGGTACGGAGAATAAACGCTTGGGCCATCTCGATCAAGCTCCTATTTAAAATCATCTTAAAAAGGGGGGACACATAGATCTACTATGTACCTTACGTGGTACGTCCAGGTATGTATCTACCTCTGTTACTACCTAGTATGTACTATGTATTTATTTCTCAAAGAGACACGAATGCGTAATAAAATAATAAGAGGGACATGATAGTAATAAATTTTGGTTTTTTTATCTGGCCTGGTTACGAATAATGAAGAAGATGGCCCGTTTAAGAGAAATGGTAAATTCAACTATCGTACTAGGTACTGAAGATGTTTTAGGATATCTCGATGGCGCAGTCATTAAAGTAGGATAAAGAGAAATAATTGCAATTTTTTAGGCCCAATAAGCTCAAACCATTCGTAGTCGTCCATAGAAACTCCCCATTAAATACATTAGGATTCCTTTTCCATTTTCTCTTTCGTATAAGATAGGGCCCCCTATAAGGATATTCCCAGACGTAACCTAACATCCAACCTACGTTCTCTTGCGCAACTTTGGTTATAGTGACGCACCGTTGCTGTGGTCTTCAACCTCACAGAACGCCTTGAAGGTTGTGAGCGAGTCATTCGAGCCCCCTTGAGATTCTAGGATTAACTCCGCCGTGGCACCAACAAAGAAGACATACCCTTCCTTGATCTCTTCGGTTTTAGACCCAACCGTGATTTTACCCTTACCTCCGGTACAGATGACGATGCTTGGTCCATCGAGAGGGTCGAACGTAGCCTTTGACCCATCACCATTGAGGACCGTTCTGATGACACTAAATTCATCGATCGGTGGATCATATAGATTTGCCTCCGAGCCAGAGCTGTATGCGGCACGATTCAGTACTACATATGGGTATTCAGTTGGCTCCATCTTCTGCTCCTCGATAGGTGCGTAATTGTAAGTAAGCAAGTCAACCAATGTTTGGACATCCTTAAACTTGGGTGTAAATCCTGCTCGAACAACATTGTCGCTTGCTGCCATACACTCAATAATATCTCCCGAGACATATGCATGTATGTCATCCGCCTTGAGGAAGAGGGCTTCACCAGGAGAAAGCTTGACGAAGTTAAGGAAGAATAGGACGAAGAGTCCGATATCATCAGGGAATTGCTTGTTTAATCGAGTCACTAACTCGGTTAAAACTGCTCCGTTGGTCGACTCAACTCCGCCATCCGCAAATCCGTCTCCTTTAGTCTCGGCCTCTGAAACGAGTGCCTTGGAAGCTGAGGCTACATCTTCCTGAGAAGAGTTCATGAGAGCAGCAAAGGCAGACTGTAGGGCTCTCTTGTTTTGTGTCGTAGACTCGGATGAATTGTCACTCTCCTGGCCTCGAACCGTGTCGATGAAAGATTTGGCTGCATCTTCGCCTACTAGTTGCCGTAGGGCGGACACCGATGATAGAAAATGAGCAATCTCGGCGAGTGGACGGAATCCGCATAGACCTTCGAAATCGGTTATGGCAATGGCCATCTCAGGCTTATGGTTATCGTCGGGGTAGTTTCTGGGGTCTCTGGCATGCAACTTCTCGGCAAGCTTCTTGTTGGGATGCGCTTGAATGGAAAGCGCTTTATTTATAGAGAGCACCTTAAAGAGAAAAGGTAACTTGGTGCCATACCTCGCTCTCACAGACGGTGCCAGAAGCATCTGGTTTTCCTCAACCAGCTCAAGAAGAGTACGGCCAGACTGGAGGTCTTTAGACGGGTTCGAAGGATGTGTACCCATCCATAACTGTGAACGCAAAGTCCCTCAACATTAGTGATCGAGCTGCTTAAATTCAAGCAGTAACAGACGCACCTCGGCGTATGGCTTGTCTGACTGGATGCTTAAAGTATCGGATGGTGTTGCTGCGGCAAATTTTGCTGCTGCAGAATCAGATCCGATCTTGCCCCAGTCATAAGAGTTCACTCCGCATTGGAGCCGTATTAAGGGGACGGGTAACACCATTCTTAATGGTTAGTCGAAAACTACGCTTAGTTTGTAAGAGTGTTCGATTTAATTGTGATCGTGATCGAGGTGAGAGTCGGAAAGGGATTGCTTTTGCAAGTACGATTTAGCAGAGATATATTTTCTATATCGCCTAGTACTATACGTGCGTTGGATCTCGTTATGGGTCAGTTTCGTCGTGGATGGAAGCGTGTAATAGTTAAAAGTGAAGAAGTAATCAAATCTTACCTACCTGCTAAAAGCTCAGGATGCGGGGCGTTGCTACCCCGCCGAGCTGCCGACATTCCATCATAGCCCCACGTAGCCCCACGTGCTCTCAGGTATCTACCTATGTACAGTATGTACTAGGTCTAAGGGTCCAAGCCACTTTCAGATTGGGAGCTACTTATGTAACAGAACAGCACAGTGGACCTGATCCTAGAACTGTTTCACAGACCACTTTCAAGCCACAATTGGCGGACTGAACTTCAATTGGCGCCATCATAACAACGTTTATGAGAGGGTCGCGGGCATCCATCACTCACTTTTTAGACCTAAAAGATGGTCACACTGTCTCTAATTAGACAAAATCTTAGATACGCTATGAAGCCTTTGCTCTTGGGCCCTTCCAATGCTTTCAAATCATCCTTGTTATTATAAAAGGCGACCTTGTCGTGGTTTCCCACTTACTTATGGTACATATCATTCATAATTGCTTTGGTTATACGTACCTTCTTTTTAGAATATCAGCATCGTTACTCATATTCATTGCTCTTTCTGCCGCGAAGTGACCTTCAGCCGTCACTGCCTCTCATATCGTCTTGGCTAGATTAACCAGTAGGTAGCTCATTCCAAGCCTAATGTTTCCTGTAATTCGTTTACCTTATAGTAAGAAATTCATCTTGTTTTCTTTTCAACACACCTCGTCAAGGCAGATGCATACCTAGGTACCTATATATACGTGCACATAAGTCGGGTATAGCGTTTACAAGAATAACGAGCTGTATTTATTGTCCATTCACATTCTAGTATTGTCTCTTCACTGCCACCAAGATGAGGACTGACAAGAACACTAAGAGAAACTTGAAGAGGCTCACCAACTCACTTGGCCCAGCCTGGGATCCTCCTATTAGATCTCGCAGAGCTTCAGAAAGTACAACACCTGCTAGAGACTTCTCTGAGCCTATTGATCCTACGGACTCCAATACTAAAAATACCCCCACAACTCCTCGCATCAAAAAAGAAAATCCACCCGAGATGTCTTCGAGAGGAAGTCAACGCAGGGGCCCAAATCGCAACAGCGAGATCGGCGAGCACGGAGAAGAGTTGGGAATGTGGAAGGATATCAAGGACAAGATCCCCGGCGCCGCAGATGCGTTTAATGAGAGCAGTCAACATGTTTTAGAAATCCATAACCAAGAAAAGCTTATGGCAGAGAAAAGAAAAAATGGCAGTAAGTTTAGTTTTCCGCTCTCACTTTATTCACCTCTCATTGTGCGATTATATACGTATGCATTCTAATCAACCTGATTAGCTCTCACGGCTGAAGACCACAATGAGCTTGATAGGCTCTGTCGTAAGGGGGTAAAACTCAATGAGTTGGCCAGCCAAAACATTGCCGAAACTATCGAGAAGCTTAAGGTATTACGTGCCGTGCAGAAGGCCAAGGAAGACCAGCAGGAAGCAAACACGTCCCGAGCAGCTGCTCAGCGAGCTAAGGAATCGGCTGCGGCTGCATCTTCGCTATACGACTTTGACGGAGCCGGCGACTCTCCCGTCCCCTCCCCCAACCCCGGCCTACCCCGTCGCATGGGCGGGGGTAGCAAGGGAGATCGTGACTCGGTGCCACCAAGGCTAGACCGCTCTACTCCGGCAGCCAAGGCGGGTAGTGCCGAGCCGCAGTCCGGACCAGCATCCAGTTCCAGTCGGTCTAAACAGACATTTGCTAAAGATGACGAAGTAGCGTTTAAGCCGAAGCCGATGAGCAATGAACAGACGGACTGGATACTAGGTATCGTCCAAGACGTACGTGGTGACGGAAAGTCGAGACGGTATAGAGTGCTTGATGCCGATGTGGATGAGAATGGCCACCAGAAGGATTTCCGTACCAGCGCCAGCAGTATGATTCTTATTCCAAGGGATGGGACTATTCTACCACCCTTGGAAACAGGCAAGACGGTATTAGCGCTCTACCCAAACACAACAACATTCTATAAGGCCGAAGTCATGGGAATGGACGGCGATGGAAAAGTTAACCTGAAATTCGAGGGCGAGGAGAGCAGCAATACCATGCAAGCTGTTACTCGTCGACATGTAGTGGAATATCGAGGTTGAAGTGTATGAGGCTTGATTGGTTGGTTGGAATATTGGAAGGACGAGTGAAGCTACGGTCCGAGGCTATCTGGTTGGGTGTATGAGACCTGGAAGAGCTCCGATTGAGAACGGCGTGTGGAGTACAAGCTCTGTTCCGAGATTTACTCGGATGGGGGTAGAATTATTGCAGTGTACAAGTCGCTTAGTTAAGGAATAATAGTCTTGCTCCAAAATATGTTGACGTTCTGCGGTTGCCCTCCAACCCCTATCCGAAAACATCGAAATATTAAACACTGAGTAGAAGATTTAGTAGTCCTTCGAATACTAAATTAAGTGGCTAGGTAGGTAGGTTGGCAGGGAAACCTGTATTTAATTCACGATCGAATGAGAAATACGATTTTAGTTCTATAAAAATTACCATCTGACTGGGTATGACATGTAGATACTTGAAACTAAGTCTTCGTCCGCGCGACCACTTAATTGTAGGCTTGAGAGAGGTAAGGAATTAATAGCATAGGTGTCTATCTTAGGATGTAGGTAGGTATTCAACTTAAGTACCTGATGTCAAACATGGCAGCAATTCTAGGTAGGTGGGTTTCCATCTCCAAGTGACTTGGATCTGTACCTAAGATTCATATTATATACCTACCTACCTACCTAGGTACTCAATACCAGATTCAGATTATAAGACGCTTCGCTGAGGTGCCAAGCCATGACCGTCACCCAGTTAAACAGACCGGGTCCAATTAGTCGGCAGTAAAGAATAAAATCTATAAAACCTTGAAAGTTCTATCGGCCTTCCATCCTGTTTTTTATCTGCAATGCACCGAATCTCAACATTCAAGTCTCAGGGCGATGTAAATTGCTGGATCTGGAATATTCCCTACAGCATTTAAGGAGGGGAAAAGGTGACCCTGCATATGCAACTCACCAATCACATCTCTCGGCACCATCAAATGCAGCTCACAACTGCGACAAAAAAAACCCATCGGCCAGGCTCTCCTTCGTCATGGCCGAATGGGCAGCCTGCCGTTTGCTAGATTGGCAACTTAGCTCTGACACGCGAGGATATGGGCTTTGCTACCTTTTTATCTACTTACCTACATACATAGGGTAGAAACCCTTTTCGATCTCTTTCGCCAAGGAAAAGAGTCATTTATCATCAGGGATCAATAGGTGAAATGACCCGCGAACGAATGCGGGAAATCCGATGGATCTTATTCGGGGCTTGTGAAAAAATGATGTATCGTCCAATAGCTGCCAACCTGCGAGTTTCTAGGATGCATGTGTTGGTACTCTTCGCATACATGATAGTCTGCATCACGGCAGCCGGGGGGGGATTGGATGGAGTGGATGGATGAGCATGATATACCTGAGATCTTATTAGCTGAGAATCCCGTGGAATAGGTCGTGGAAGTTATTAAAGCGCGTCTAAATAGTTCTTATTCCCTGTTGTGCCTGTATTTGGTCCTGATCTAAGACTCTCCTGTTTGCTCTTCTGTGACAGCCTTGTCGTTTTCACGATATCTCCAATTCCACTTAGGTACTAATTGTATATCTTAATGAGCTGGTCTCAATAATATATTACCTCCATTCGGCCGTATAATCTACATATTTTAGCCTCACTCCCCATCTCCTTGAAACCGGCTGTATCCTCAAGCCCTGCGAGAAATCGTTGACGATCATCAAACTCATAATACGGCACTACAAAACTCGCAGCGATGTTTGCAATCATCGTTCTTACCACCCTACTGAGTCTTGCGGAGGCCAGCTTCAAAACACCAAGGACTGCGCTTCCTCCAAGCCCGAGTCTTTCTTCCACAACAGCGACGTCAGTGGTAGAATCGCTGATCTCAACAGTCGCGACAAGCAGCATACCTCCAACCCAACCTAGCGTGTCAAGTACATGCGCTCCACAGCCGAAGAGTTCTGCTGCCGCTGAGACCCGGTGTTCTGCTTTACCATCGAATGTGCCTACATCTATATCGACTGCAAGTGCGGGCAGCCCTGAAATAACACCATCACCCGAATCAGACTCTCCAGGGGCCAACTTCCATGAGATGGGTGTCAAGTACGTTCAGACTACATATTGGAGTTGCGTTACATTTCCCCTCGAAACGCATTGCGGTTGGCACCAGCCTATCCTAGATGCTGGAGCTGGTAGAATACGATGCGAAGGCAGTGGACAGGCAGCTTTGCGCGCGGGTATCGTGGCTGGTGTTGTCGCTGGTGGGTTGGCGCTTGGGATCTAGTATCCGATATCTGAGCAGAGCACCTCTGCCTATTTGGCTTCTTTCCTTTGGGTCGATACCCCGGATAACCTGTGAAATTATTTATGATAAGTTTGCGCGACATGGGACATTGTATATCTGGGAATATTGAGGCGTCTCGGAGTTAGCAGAGGGGTGGAAATGAATGTATGGTTAGCGAATAACACGCAAAAAGGTCACTTATGATGATGAATCTCAAATCGTGATTGCCATGTCAACTCCTTGATTTATGCTATCGTGGGGAAATCATCAAATTCATTCCGTCACGCCTCGAGGAAAAGTTCCTAAAACCGTATCTCGACTAGTAGTAGGAAGCAGGATGCAGAGAGATGCATTATCGCATGTAATGCACAGAGCCAGTGCCAAAGCCGAGCCGAACCCACTCCGCGAAGACCATAAAAACCCATAAGCCCATCGTTTATTTCTCCTTCTTCGCCTTGGCACCCTTGACCTTGGCCGTTCCGCGTAGGGTCTTCTGGCGGTTCTTGCGTTGTTTGCCTGTATTTCATCGTGTTAGTGCCAACAACTGCCAATGACCCCTCCAAGATCTCTAAGCCTTGGATATAAGATATATGAATAAAAAAACGTACGCTGCTGTCGGGATGCTCGTTCGCGCTTGGTGGCCAGGCCGACACGGACAAGTCGGTACTGGGGCTCGAACTTCTTCATGGCCTCGGGAGAATCGTAGACGAGGGCGAAACCGGTCGTCTTGCCGCCACCGAATTGTGTTCGTAGACCGAAGACGGAGACCTGGTCCTTCTGAGCCTTGTACATGGAGGATAGCTTGTCGCGAAGCTGGTCCTTGGAGATGTTGGGACGGCCGGGGTGGAGAATGTCACTGTATATGTAAAAACCCATCATTAGCTAACCAATCCAATTTCGCAAATTCGACATATCCGTGTTGATTCTTATTTTTCGCGATATATTATGGATGGATGCGATGTCATACGACGGTATATGACAAAAGATCCTGCGAAATGCGTGAAAAGATCAGGCGAAGGGTTCAAACGTACACGACCATCTGCTTGCGACCGAGGAGAGGGTTGCGGATAAACTTGCGGGTTCGCAAGGTGACAGGAGTCTCGGAGTCAGCCATGTTGGCGGTTGACGATTGTCGAGGATCGAAATGAACTGTCTGGGGGTGAGAGGTTGGCGTTGAGACAGAACTTCTGAACTTCTCGATGTTGCTAGTAGTATTGATTTCGATGAAAGTGGAAAAATCCTTGGACAGGTAAAATTCATTAGTCGAAAGTGGGTTTGTGTGATTGGGGCTAACAATTCACTGGTCCGTGCTTTCACCAGAGCTCTAGCGGCATCGAATGTGCACATAGGAATTGTGTTAGGCGAGGTTAAAACCCTAAGAAATTTGATGAGCCTGATAAGCTGATAAGAGTAAGAATAGTACTAGTAGGTACTAAGTACCTATCTATGTACAATACAAGCCACTTCATGTAACGATCAGCCACATCAGATCATTATGTATATAAATATTATTACCAACTTTCGAAGTTCCAGATCAATTACTTTAACGTTCTCAGATTTCATCAATCAACAATATGGCGCAAGAACAAGTCAACACAAAAAACCAAATCATTTATCGCTTCTGTCGCCAATATCTCCAATTAGAGAGAGATCTAGATTACCCTTCGCCTACACTCTTACGCGAGGCTGATGTTCAAAATTCTCTTTACAATCAGATTTTTAGAGACGGAGCTCTTAATTATTATCCTCCCCCGAGATACCAGCTGAGAGTCTTGAAGGAACTCATGTCCAAGATCGAAGCGAGTATCGAGGATTGGGATAGCCATGTAAGGGAGCAATGTTCCTTGCTAATACGTAAATGCCATTCATGCTCCGTGTGACTTTCCTTTGCCATGTAGCCATGGCTGATTCCTATCTCTTTCTCAGGGAATATCCGACGACTTAATGTCATCCCTCTCTAATCTCCTTGCTCTTCCGCTCCCATCGGAAATCACTGCTGCCCAACAAAAGTCATATGTGACATACTCTCCTTCATTACTTAATGTCTCAACTAGTCATCATGGTTCTCTTCCAGCCCAAGTTACATTATTGGAGTCGCGAAACCTCATCTCTGCCTTTGGAACGACTGGTTTACGCACTTGGGAGGCTGCTCTTCATCTCGGACAGTTCCTCAGTACTAATCCATCTATCATCCACAACAAGACTGTCCTGGAGTTAGGAGCGGGCACCGGGTACTTATCCATACTCTGCGCCAAATTCATGGCTCCTACTATGGTCATCGCCTCCGATGGTTCTGATGATGTAGTGGCAAATCTTCCTGAGAATTTTTTTCTAAACGGGCTTCAGGAGTCGGAGATGATCCGAGCTATGGACGTCAAATGGGGACACGCTCTTGTAGGGACGGAGGATGAGCATTGGAATGGCGGCAGACCAATTGACGTCGTTCTCGCTGCCGATGTCACCTACGACAAGGGCATAATCCCCGCTCTCATCGGCACTCTAGAGGAACTAGTGGGGATGTTCCCGCATGTTGCCATTTACATCGCAGCCACCGAAAGGAATCGAGAAACATTCGAGGTCTTCCTTAATGCCTGTGAGGAGAGATATCTCAACATTGACGAGATTTATTACGAACTCCCACGCAGAAAAGACCAATATGGTCCATTTTACAGCGACCAGGTGCCGATTAGGATATGCAGAATACTAAAGTAATAGGAGTTCCTGAAATCTTATAGCGTCATTCACTTAGCTTTATATTTTGCATTAGGTATCCTCGTGTTGGCCCTCAACATTACTCCATCGCCAGTTACCTCCTCGCGCGGAATAGATCATCAGTTTGCTTGGTTTTAGGATGGGATGAAAGTGGATAATATGTGGTGGTCGGTTGTTAAGTCGCACGAAATCCCCTTTGGTAAGGCTTCCCGCGTCCGTCCGTCCCACGTGTACAACACAGCACGACGTGCAAACAATATATTACGGTATTAATATGCTTCCATGCGATGTTAAAATTCGAAACCTACCTAGCTCAGTAACACTTATTCATCTTCCTTCATCCCTAATTGCCTACCTTATATCCTAATGAAGACATCACTCAAAACCAGGCTCAGTAGTCATGTTGTCTAGAGCAATATCTATTTTATTAACCCTAAGTAACAGTTGCCAAGCCGTGGTCAAATTCACGACAGATCGATGGGAGGTTGATGATGAAATGGGACTTGTCCTTACATGGGCTGATGCTATCGGCGTGGTTAATATCGACTTCACGAATGTGGCGACAGAGGGACCTACACGACCCAACAATATTGCGAAAGGTTGGAGTATTCTTATATTAGACTCATATCGCCATCTAACCGCTTACAAGTCTTCTAGATTATACAGGTAACAACACATTCGTATGGAGGCCGAATGTCGACCTCGCCCCGGGTGATTACGTCTTCCACATCAAAGACGAATGGAGTAAGGATGAGTCGCCGAGGCTGACACTTTCTGCCTTCTTTGCCCGCTCTCCATACGTATGACTATATCTCTAAAATTGCGTGCACATTTTCATCTAACAAAGTGTATTACAGAACAACATGCCTCGGGATAGGGATACCAGTAAAAGTAACGGTAGCGATGGGAGTGGCGATGATGGCATTGGGCCCAGTACCGCGGCTGGAATAGGGGTTGGCTCCACCCTCGGAGGAATACTCCTACTCGCCCTGGTTGCTTTTCTAGTCTACCGTGGGCGGCAGAATAAGACTAGGTTGGAAGACCAAGAAACCAACGAACGGATTGAGGGAAAACAGAAACAGAAGGAACCTCGACTCGAAATCTACGAGAGCTAAGCACAGGACTTACCTAGGTACGCTAGGGTTTCTAAACGATAATTCTCGGCTTTAACCTGCCTAGGTACCTAGGTACCTAGTACCTGTGCAGGTCTTAGGTCAGTCCGAAGTATAGTCATGTTCTTCAAGGTTATCGTCGCCATAGCCTCCTAAATATTTTCCGTACTTTCGCCATATTACTCGAATGTGACTGCTGCTGTGATTTAAGCCATGCTATAGTAACCTTTCTGGTGTTTAGATGGGGTATTCTCGATTCGTGTTCTGCAAGTAGTTGAGCTGTCAAATCTTTTGCTCTTTCGCTGACTTTAGGAGGTAGATCGTCGTCAAACCTCTTCGTCCAATATTCGATAACACGATCCAAGGCAGTATGCCCTAGAGAGGTAGGCTCAGTGACTTCGGGACCATGGTCTAAAAGATACAGGACGGATCCGGGCATCCCCGCTTGGTGTAAATCTTCCACGAATCGTGGCGGTCTCTGGTAGATAGAAGACGAACTGTTAGAAGGTCTGGGTGGAATTTGATGCCACACGCCAATATCGCGCCAGTACGCAACTACCATTGTAGCTTTTATATATATTATATCGACGGAGTTCAAGTAGTTTTCGTATTCCTCCTCACAGAATTTCGCAAAATACGCCTGGTCCTGCTTAACGACATAACCGTTTTCTAAAATGAAGCGGAATATGGCGAGATGTTTTCGTAACGATAGATTATTAGCTAGACGTAATTCTAGCAGTTCTTCTTCCGTGTTTTTGAAAACGTCGGGTTCGTAGCGTAGCTTCTCCTTCAGGTATACTTGCAGATTGCAATGTAAGGCAAGAGCCAATGGACCGTTCAAAGACGTGTCGTCGAAGCAGTACGGATAATGATCACTGGGAATGCCATCAATAAAATATTTGAGGCTGCGTCCCGTTGTCAACTCATGATTCAAGAGTTGTTCGACACATGATTCTTCTTCCGTAATTAGGTAATATTTAGCCAGGAATGTGTGGCCATTCTCTCCACCTCTTCTGTCTTTCGGGCTTAAGATGGCCAAGAAGATCTGGTTAAAATCCCGGCTGCGGACAAACTCTTTAACCGTTTGATGTATGAATTGGACTGCTGGTTGACCTTTTCTATCATTTAAAACGTTGATGACCTCGACCAGGTTACCCGTGCTGGTCAATATTCTGTTGTTCATCTTGGCGAACATTCCACCACTGTACTCCCCCTGATGCACAGTTTCACGGCAAGCCCCATAGCCGGATTCCCTAGAGCACTCAACTATTTCAACAATTTCAGATGGCCGATGGATCTTCCTTGTCTTCGAGAGTATTTCGAATATTACGAATGCATCTCGGCGGTGACTCTCCTGTATACGATAGATAGTTCGAATGTAGTACTTTTGCAAGTCGGACGGGATTGAGTTGAGGATGTTTGCAAGCTCCTGATGGTTGTTTCTTCTGGGAGCTTCGCTTATTAATTCATGTAACGCCAACTTGACCCAGAGGAAAACTCCGTTTGCTTTGTCAATGACGTCTGGTATGATGGGGCTTAATGTGACAGAGATCTGGTCGCTTGTTAAATCGACCATACCCCAGCAGTAATTTTCAATATCGTCTTTCGTGTAGTCTTGGAGTTGTATTGATGCGACATCTTCAAATTGACGTTTGAATTCATCCCAGGGACGGCTAGAAAAGAGTATTTTTATCTCTGTGTGCGAGCCGGCTGTTGCATCCAGGAGGTCTTGCAGAAAGCGACAGATGAACCCAGGCTGCCCATCATACTCGTCCAGTGCGTCAAGGAGAAGGAATATCTTCAAGCCTAAAATGTTTTGCTGAAGTATGTGGCGTAGACAGTTTTCTAAAACATCAAGAGTCCAAGATTCAACTCGTCGCCGCTTCGGGGGAAGACATTTGAAAACATGCTCCATGAACTCGGTAACTCTCACCCCTGATCGTTGAGCTTGATCGATGATCTGGTGAATGATGCTTCTGAGAAGACCTTCAAATGACTTTTGCAGTAAGTCGCCCCTGTCGTGGAAGAAGAACATGGCAGATATACCTAAAGCTCCGGATGAAAACTTATGAATGTGTTCCCAAGTACGATTATTCTCGGCGATAAACTTCATCAGTGTCGACTTTCCCGAGCCTGGTTTCCCGTGAATCCAGAAGAAGCCAACTCCATCCCTCAGCCAGCTTGGGAAAGAGGATCTATCAGCATCAAAAACCCATTCAAATGTGTGTTCGAAGTTTTTGTCGATCGTGTTGAAGCGGTGGTCTTGACCCGGAATCAATAGCGACTCCATCAGATCTGTTCTTAATAGGTAAATATGATATATGGAACAGGAGGGTGCGTTTTTTACTTACTCTTTGCGGACCAGCTCTCAGACTCATCGCGGCCCGTTGGCGCAACTTCTATGGTATCATATGACTCAGAAATCAAAGGTATTTCATCTATCGTCCGGACAACATCCTCACGCAACTCTCTTAGCTTACTTTTCACGATACTGAAGTTTGGGTCAGCGTTTCTAAATTTGACCATTTCGGAGTGATTCTCGTTAATGGGAAAGGTGCTGAGTGGTCGTGAGTTATAGATATTCCGGGTTGCTGATTCCTTTGAAACTAATATATCCTCTAACCCAGCCCTTCTAAAGGATCCATCAGGCATTTTCTGCAAACGATTAGACACTTATAGACCGGCAAGCACATGGCGAAGTAAACTCTTATAACTCACCATAACAGTTGGTGACATCTTGGTCTCGTAGCCCCAATAAATGTGCATACTTCTGGTTAGGGAGAGGCCTGAGAAGCTGTCGTCCAGGTCTTGCAGATATTTCGAACCTCTGGATAGATTTTGGACCATCTGATCATTTTTCTGGCCTTTGACCATCGTTGAAAGATGTTCAACGGACATGCCCTGACTAGGAACGCCAAAGAAAATCCCCCCTTTAAAGAGATTAAGGATATGTGCATTCTGCTCATCACTGTCCGCTAATATTGTGAACGCCTCCTTTAGGACAATACCGCCGAGGCTATGGGCTAAGAAAATCAACGGCTTTGCACTTGGAAGACTCTGCCCAGAGGCTTTGATGTGACCAATAAGAGATATCGCCAGATCTTGGATGGACTGAAAAGATTTGCTACCCACAAGGGCAGTATCGTACCCGTAGATGCTGATCCTCGTCTCAGGCATGATGCTGGGTAGTTCGTCTCGGATCCACATGAAGCTTTTGTCTTTCCCTTTTGGTTGCCATGAGCCGAAGGGGTGGCTTGCCAAACCCGAGATAGCAATGCAGCTTAATGGAAGCCAAATATCAGTATACATAAAAATCATTATATAGGTAGGTAGGTATGTAAGACAGTCTCGTTAGCACTTACTCAAAACTACATTTCTCTTGTTCGACATCATTCAGGGGCGTTATCCCCATGAAGTGGGTGTCAATGATTAGAGCCTTTTCCAACCCAACCACGGCCAATGTCCATTCATTATTCTCGGTTTGTTCTTCAATCAGGGCCGGGAGTTTACGGAACATTAGTGTTCCTACTTTGGTCGGAGGTCTCGCCCATGGATCCAAATTTGTTGCCAGAGACTGGATGGCAATGTCGCTGGGCGCGACATCTCCAAGTTCTCGGCTGAGCAGCTCAGCGGTTCCCGATCTGTCTAAATAGATCGGGCATCCTCTCAACCGATAGACCCTGGGCTTCGGTGAGCTGGAAGCCATAGCCTGCAATCACATGACTGGTCTGAGGTAGAAGAAATTCTAAATAAATGGGCGATCCCTAGATATTTTGTGTGAAAGTAAGAGATGAGAAAAAAAAGATGATCAAGAAGGCTGAAGTGTATTCTCCACTCCGTCGTTGGCTGAAGCTATTCTGACCTATCAGCATCAGCCAGAACTTACGCATATGATACCTAATGTGTGACGAATCAGCGTCTTATCCAATGATAGAAAAGCTGCCTTCTGGTAAACCCCATAACCGAATTATCTAGCGATGTTCCTCCAACAAGGTACGATTAACTAACTACCTATTAGATACTCTCTTAACATCATATACATATATTAAGCATCTATTACGACGATCAACGTACCTCACGTAAACACCTACCACCGAAACCCCGCCACGAACGAAGCCACCAAAGCCCACCCCGCTTCCAGCCAGACCGAAGCCTCGTCGATTTCTCAATAAAAACCCTCCCAAGACCCCACCGACTACCTCTTCTACGAACGAAGCGCAACCCGCCTTTCCCGCTTACGCTCGTAGCTCTAGCTCGCCGAGCTACCGGCGCCCGCAGCTGGTGAATCGCGCTGTCGTCATAACTAAGCGCGAGGCAGCCATTGGTCACCGAGAAACTTTTTAGAAGGGTGTATGAGTAGTATTATATGGTACATAACCTTCTTCGAGCGGTATTTTGGCTGGCTGTTCGTTGGGTTCGTGTACGTAGGTAAACGTAGTGTTGTGGTCGTTGTAGGTAGGTCTCGCGACTAACATGCTCAGTAGAAATAGAAACTTTTAGAATCTCGGTCTGGGTGTCACCGTTACTGGGCTCGGGGTGCTCTGCCTGGCGCTGGGTTCCATCGTGATACTTTATCTACTACGTAGGTACCTACAAATAAACGATAAAACATAAGTCTTTGAATAGAAGAGGTTTAATTACTTTGCTATATTGTACTTCGTATGTAGGTAGGTACTGAAATTGTGAATATTAACTTTTATTAGATTCTAGCATTGTAGCATATGTTGCCCTGTCATCTAGTGTGAGTAGAAACACTTTATAGGGCACATCAGACTTATTAGAATACTCCACGGCCAAGTAAACATCGTCATTGATCATGTTGTTCATGCTGAATAGCGACGATACAAGACTCGATTCACCACTAATAAAAAACCCTAGTTCAACTGAGATTACGATGATTGACTTTAGCATACATGACATCACAGCGAGACCGCTAGCAGATATAGACTTGGCATTCAATTATCATTGTGCCATTGGATCACTACCTAGGTACTTCAGGAGTTGGACAAGTACCTCTATCGATGTAGACGTTCCAACCGAGGAGCTGAGCCCCAGCCCGCACAGCTTAGGAGGGAATCGCATCCACAAGAGTCGTCAGTGAGATGCTTCCTCAGCGAGGATCCCTCCAAACACAACGCATTTAGAAATGAATAAAATGTGTGGTTTGTGAGAGAGAATGACGTGAAGTATAAACAGCAAAAGAATCCCACCCACGGGGTTTTTTCTCTCCAAGCCGCTCTATCCCCTCAAAGAAGTGTATCGCCGGATGCTGGTTGGGGGTCCTCGGTATTGCAAACGAAAATCAACGTATCGGAATGCCGCCAACCCCCCTAATCCAGGTTCCGGTACCGCCAAAAAAACAAATCGCGAAAAGAAATGGCCATTCTGATCTCCAGTCAAGTCCCGTCCATTCGTACGTAATCTCTGCTCGGAGGGATCTACCACTCCGACGCAATAGTCGTGAAGAGACAAGAGACGTTCGGAGCATGCGATCATTATTGCGTCAAAAAGAAATTGGGGCCGATTATGCCTTAAGCCACCACGACGCCACCCTTGCGCTTCTCGGCGCTGGTAAGGACGAGCATAGGCGCTTTCCGCTGCCCATCGATCAACTCGGTCTTGCCTGGTCGTTGGGAACCATTCTTGAAAACGCTCGCAAAGCTGCCTTCGCCCTCACCGCTGCTAGACAGGCTATCGACACTCTTGCGCGACTTCTGGCGCGAGCCCGGTCGATCGGAGCCAATAGCTCCCCAGCTGCCACTGGTGGAAGTCCTGGAACTAGCCAGACTCGGCTCCGCGTCGCCGGAGAGGCTGCCCGAGCCACTACGCCCAGAGTCAGACTCGTTGTCGGTCACAGGGCTGCCGACTTCCTCGGCACTCTCGGATACGGGGCTCATGCTTCCGCAGCTACTACCCGTACCCTTACGTCTAACCATACCAGCCTTCACTAAGTTATGGACAGCAGAGCGACGAGTTCGCGCCGCAAAGTTCTTGCTGCCCTCGTGCTTAGCAGTAGGTTTCGCCCTAAGCTCATCCAACGCCGGAGGGCCACGAGGCTGACGGATCGGATGCTCGCCAGCACGACCTTGACCGGGACCATAACCACCATTAGTCATGGGCGATAGAGGGAAAGAAGCGGTCTTTGGGCCAGCGGACTTCGGTGCTTCGTCCGTCGATAGAGATAGCCCCTTGTTGACACCAGCTAGAGACGATGACTTCTTATGGCCTCGGCGAAAAGCGTTGGCAGAGGGGGGGGGCAGAGGTGTGGGCTCTGCCGTTAACTCCACCTTTTTCGGGGGCGAGGTAGTTCGGAACGTGGGCGGGCTGTTTTCGGCAGGAGGCGGCGAAACTTGAACACGAGGAGTACTGTTGCTCGGTTGGTGGCGGTTGTAACCCTGAGGGGTGCCGGGAGCTCGCTCTACGTAGCTGTTGTTGGCGTTGCTCATCTGGCTGACACCTTGATCGATATAGTACACTTGCTGACCGGACGCGGGATCGAAATAGGTGTACAAATTTTGCTGGGTCGGAATTGACGAGGCCATCGATTGTTGGAGGTTCTTGAGCTGCTGTTGCTGGTGATATAAATTCTGCAAGGCCATTTGCTGCTGTAGTACTGACTGTCCGCTGAGACTCATGCTTTGGAACTGCTGAGCGGCAGCTTGGACACTAAGCAACTGCTGCTGTAGTCTCTGCTGTTGCTGGGCGAGGTACATATTGGTGGCCACCAATTGAGCATATAGGGAAGGATCCATCTGATCTTGAACCTGCTCATCGAGATGAAGCTCGGGAGGTGCCAGAATCTGCTCAGCGGTATACTGCTGGTGGCTCATGTTCATCATTTGATTGTAGCCCTGCTGCTGCTGCTGGTGATGGTGATGATGATGTTGTTGCTGCTGCTGAGATGAAAGACGAGGAAGAGAAGTCTTGGGACCGACATACATGTTCTCTTGGCTCCCGTACATGTTACCGACGATGCTATTCCTACCATGTACATGAGTAGGTGGGACAGCAGAGGTGGGAGAGGCGGCAGCGAAAGATGTCGCCGTAGCCGATTTCGGTGCCGTTCTGAGGCCTGCAAGCAGGTGAGATCGACTAGTTCGCGGAGTTGGAACACCGTTGTCCTTGTGCTCGGATGCAGCTTTGATGGTCTCGAAGGACAGGGGCTTAATGTTCTGGCCACCGCCGCGACGTGAAGCTAACCCTCCGGTAGGCATTCCTAACCCAGTCGAGGTAAACCCGTTATGCGCCATTTGAGCGAGACCGCCGGTGTCCATTGCTCAAATTAATTGGAAAGATGTGATCTCTCGATTGAATAACTACCTGAGGCGAAGTCGAGGTACGAAATTCGAATACGAACGATGGCGAGAGGACGATTAGAATAGAAATCTAGTAAGGAATGGATGATTGCCTCTAGAATAATAGGGCGATCAAAGGGATATTACAACAGAAGTAGATTGGTGATAACAATAGTGAGTCGAGAAGGTTGTGATTAATGCGAAGGTATAGTTGGTACTGTCGGGATTGACGATTGCGTGGTATGTGGCCAGACAATCGGCGCAACGGCTAACGATGTAGCAATTGGGAAGAATGTCGTATCAAACGCGTGTTTGCCGGCAGGATCCAACAAAACCAAGAAGGCAGTTTTGTTGATGCTGATGATAGAAATTGGTGAACAAGAAACAGAAGAGGGTGCGAGTAGATGCAGTTGTCGTCGTACTATTTTACTCCTGGGGTGATATTAAAATATTCCGTAGTCGTGTCCGAATGAGCGACAGACGTAGCCAATAATGGAGAAACTGCGTAATGAGGTTCTAAGAACGAGGACTAGCAAGAGCGAAACTCGATGATCCGGGATGAGGTTTCCGAATTAATCCTGGTCAAAGAAAAGTCAAGAAACCGGAGGTTGATGCAAAAGACGATGCGGAAAGACCACGATGTCGAAATTACGCAGGGACGAAATAGAAGGGCTATTAGAGGCTAAAGCTTCCTTCTTTGTTCTCTTGACTCGTCCGAGAGCGGCTTAACCGGGCAAGGCGGGAATCCTGATCCTGATAGATTGGCTGTTGCCGACTTGTGTTACTTTGCTTTGTTTCTGTTCCTTAGGTGGATGTCCCCGACAAATACCTCGGGAAAGTTGGAAAAGACTTCCTTGTTTGCCAGTGGTTCCAATGAAAGAAGTGAGAGCGAGAAAATGTCTGATGCAAACCACTCTAAATTGTCAGGCTTTTTTATGGTGTTTCTTTTCCTTACTTCTCCTTAACATGTAGTATGCAGCTCCTCCGTATCGGGTTGACGTAGTTGGGAGGGGACGCGAAATTATTGGGTCAGTCAAGTATAGGGTATACGTAAAAGCGATGCGAATCGAAAATGGCGAAAAAATACGTCGATAATTTGTACAATGATTAAGAAGTTGATGGTGTGGATTGAATCTTCCGCGGCTTTTTCTTTCTCTTTTTGTTTTTCTTGTCTTTTTCCTATTTCCCTGGTCCTGCTGCGAAAAAAATGCTGGGCTGGATTGACGATGGTGGCGAATTGTCTTCTTCTCGAGAGAACGCGATGCTGCTGCAACTTGTTTTTTTGACTTTTGACGAAACGACGATGGACAAGCCAACGACGGGATGAACTAATTGATTTTTGGCGCGCGCACACAAAAAGGGGAGAACCTCGAGGAGGATTAGGAACCAACGGACAGAGGGAGAATAAAGGAAGGGCAATTTGCGATCGAGGGGGGAAGAAGGAGGGGGAGGAGGAAGAAAGAGAAGATGGACAAAAAAAGTTGAGAGATGGAGAGAGAGAGAAATGTGTGATAGATGAAAGAGAAAGGTACTTGTGTGTGGTCCGCGAATGGCCAGGAGGAAGGAACAAATAGAGTGGGAAAAGTGAAAATTGCTGCAGTGGGTTTTTTAGAAGTGGGCAGGTAGTCTCAAGCTTGGTTTCTTTGGGTCAGGCCAGCAAATACACCTGCAGCAAGTACGCAGGAAGTACCCTAATGTCAGAAATGTACCTAAATCTAGGGTACCTTAGACTGCTAATTGTACGGCAGGCAGGTCGGTACCTTCTACCTAAGAATTATCCGTGGATGAATTATTTGCACGTTTATCAAGAAAAAACGCAGGAACCACCAACTGCACTGTGTACCTTCAGCCCAGTACCTCTGATACTTTACATACCCCTAGACCCGGTTGATGAGACGTAGCTGGAATATTTGATTGGCTATAGGAGTTCATTTTTGCCGCGACGATGGGGTACTAGCGAGTCCCAAGTGGATCCTGGACATCAAATTGGCCACTAAAATTCAATATCCGTCTGATGAGAATTTTAGAGAGTACCTGGGCAAGCATCCGCACCTTCGCCTTACGTACATAAAAAATCTCTTGTCAAGAGAAGGCACCAAATTTGATTTGATCGAATGTCTTTACTTACATGTATTTAACCACCATCTCATACACGTATATTTTCACTATGTCTATCATAAAATGTTGATATTGGAAGATAAGTGAAGTTCATTAATAAAGAGCGATGGGAGTAAGAATTTATATTACCCAAGTAATCCATAGGTATTACATAGGAAAGGAGAATGAAGTTGAATGTTAGATCGAAGAAATATTGAAGGGAATGTCACTGACTGACACTGACACGAGCAGGTAACGCCACAAATTGAGGGACCTTTAGATTCTTATTGGTTTGTCTGGCTCAGCAGACCAGAAGGCAATGTACTATGTATCGTACAGTATGGATGATTAAGATCTAAAAGGAGTTGTGGTGTGATGGCCAGCGCAGTTCTAAAGTGGTACCATCCCGTTCAACCCATTCAATCCGCTCAACCTGTGATGGATGGATTTCAATCTTTCGTCGCGGGGATCAAGGGCTGACCAACTAAAAGATAGTTCTCCCCTAAAAAGGGGTCCGTAAGGAAATTTTAGCCAAGCTTGCTGACAGGGGCTCATTATGATAGTACCTTTGTACATACAACCCTAACGAACCCTGTAAAACCTGCTAAACACAGGTACCGCCGAATTGTCGTGTCGTAAATGCCCTGTCTTAAACCTTGGAACCTTCGATGGTGGAAATGTCCAAATATACATAGTACCAAGAATATTGTTGATTTCGCACTATGGACATACCTTTCAACTTTTCATAGCAACTCAGTCGTCTTGAAAAGAAGCAGAGAAGGCAAAATTGAGTTAGAATGTAACTACATGTGCTTACCTACTAGGTAGGTACCTATGTAGGACATTGTATATACCTGTAACTTGCCACTGTACAATACTTCACCTACCTAGTAGGTACATAGGTAGGTAGGTACCTAGAGGTAACCTTGAAAGTATTCCTAATATGGTTAATATTCCCTCCTTTTATAACTTCGTATCCATCAAATTAAGACCACCGACCAATCAATATTAATCGTACATTCTAAATACATAATGCCTTTTCTTATTTAAATTATGCATCTCGTTATTTCTTGTCTACCTTTGTCGTTATATATTATGTGTTATGGGTTTTAATCCTGTTCGCAAACTATCCCACATGTATGATTGTCCTCCAACTTAGGAAGCTTAGAAGCTTAGAAGCTCCTAATAGTCCGACAGGTGCCTTGATTTAGTATAGTGAATAGGAGAAAAAATATTAGAAAAGAACATGAGAAGAATACATATTGAAGGAAATAGAGGGGGGGGGAAAAGCTTGACTTACTTCGCTCTGGAGTTCCGGGCATCACCTCTTTTCGTCTAGCTTCTGCATCCAAGAGGCGCGCGTAAGAAAAGGAAGAGGCAAAAGGGTCAGAAGGATGTTGATGATTGGCGAAACGGGTTCGAATGGGTTTGTCATCGCCCAGATTCAGAATTCAGAGGATTCCTGCCATGCGTATGGGGAAATTGAACCCCTGTGATCGACCTACCATGCTAACACGGTCGTTTCATGTGTTTGAAACCCAGCACATCATCATGGAGTAGTGGGTGGAGGTGTTCGGGGGGACATGATATGCAGGCATGGCTTTCGCATTGATCATCCGAACATGCCTAGATAACTTCCTGCAGTTGAAGACTTCGTCGCCATCAACCAGACGATCTGTCCTCCGGATCTGGCCGATACTAGAAAGATATTGTCCCTATGACAAGAGTCTCACGATGCTATATACTACCTACCTACCAGGCACCTAACTCAGTATGTAGGTATGTAGTGACAATAATCGGCAGCATCAAAATTCGCCGCAACCAAGAACTGCTAGGGTAATGTATCGCATCAAGACAACACCCAGTCACCGTTACAATCGCAACCCCCAAGATCTAGCTCTCCTGATTCAGGTCGGTTACCCAACTACGCCGGTCTAATTTAGTCGGTTCATACATCGCGATTCGCGACAAGGCTAGCACGCGAACTACATATCCCAACTTCAAGGTTAAGATTCGAACCCTTGTATCACTTGATGTCCACTGTCCAGAGAGTCTACAGTACTATTATTGTCAAATATCTATGCAAGTTACAAATCCCACAACTTTCCAATCAGGCGATCGACATCAGACTATTCCTGATGTATGAGAGAATAATGAAAGATCACCCAGCTACTAACCTTACCCGTTTTCTGTGAGCCATAATAGCCCTAAAACCAAGAGACGGGGAGCTGCTCCAATTGCTAAAAACGTCTGAGACATTCACGTCTACAGTCCCACCATGTGCCCCCGAAGAGTGGGGTGCCCTCGTAGGCTTCATACGTACATACATTCTCGAAGTTGACGAAGAATAACGACCCACGGACCTTCAGGAGTTCGTGGGTAAAGGTCGAGCGACCCTTGCAGTTTGGAAGGAGTCACATCTGCTTCTCGAAATCCGAAACATGAGTAGGTAGGTAGGTACATACGATCAATCACCACGACATAACCACGCTGAGCGCGTCTAAACTCTCCGTCGTCTATTTAACGCCAACTACGAAACAAACAAACAAGCTTCTACCCACTACGTAGGTAACTATTTGGTCCGATACGTACCTAGTACCTATATACCCGCGGCTACGAAGCCAGCCAGCTTTTGAATTAACAAACGTTTAAAGAAACACCACACATGCAATATTCACGTCTTTATCAATTTACATTCCGATGCAACCCATTCCGAGACCTACAGGTGTACGGCGACCCAGCCGGCCGTTTACTTCGCTTATCACCGCTATGAGAAGCTGGACAAAAACCGATGACTCCCGAGTCTTTATATAAATGTGGTGCGCAGCCACGTGTTCAACCTCCCTGAGTGATAATCC